TTCATGGGTTAATTTATTACAAATAGGAAATATGAATAGAAAATGGTATAAAATATCTAGTAATAAATATTTAGTCAATTAAAAAATAGATGTTGTTATAGGTTCGATAGAGAGAGAGCTCTTCCATTTTGTAATTCGCATGTATGTGATAACTCGAATAACTTAGGTTAATAGAAAACAGAAATTGAGCAAAAAAATGATAAGAGACATAAAATTTATATTATAAAATTTTAAAATTTGTTCTATATGTGTAACTTATTGTCTAATTAGTAAATGAGAGGTACATTTCATTAAAAAGTTTATAATTAATATTTTCCTTTTGTTGACAAATTTATTATTAATCTAAAAGGAAAGGAATTTTTCTTTCAATTTTTTTTTTTTCCTTTTTCTCTATTTCTTTATTAATTTTAATTCAAACAAAAATAATTGTATATAATTTTATTTTCTTTCTCATTTATTATTTATCTAAATAAAAAAGGATTCATTCATTTTCCTTTTAACATTCTTCTTTCATTTTTCTCCATTCCTTTAATTCAAACATAAAAATAAAACTTAATGAATAAGCAACCATTTATTAGTATTTAATGACTATATAGTATATAATTAATGCTCTAATTCAGTGTTGTAGCAGTTTTTGGAATACCGTTGAGACATGATTATTAGAATTTAACATAAAAAGTCACATGTTAATATACTTATCAAGCCGTGTAGTTCATGCTAAAACTTCCATATATATATATATATATATATATGTCTATATACATATACATATATATACACACACACACACATTTGAAAACATAAATTCATTCAATGATTTTGTTTTAGCAGTCAAACTTTCGAAAAATTCTCACTTAAAAAAGAGTTCATTAATACATGTTATATACTAGGGGGGGTTTAGTTAGAGACGTGGCAACTAAATTTAGACAAGGAAAAATGATGATGACGGGGAGTTTGACCCAAGTCAAACCAACAGAAAGTTTTTGAGGTTTGTCTTGGACGCTTAGTTGAGTTAAGAGAGGTCAAAATTAATGTCCTCATTTATTGTCTGCCTATTTTTAGGACTTAAATCAATTGAACCCACCACCTTCTTCGTTTCTCTCTTTCAATATTATATATCATTAGCAATTTGCAATAACACAATTATCATCCGGATACTTTAAGAGTTGTACATATGATTATTATTAGGAGTACACCATTTTTGTATTTTTTTTTAATAGAAAATATTATGTATTTCAATCGAATTATATTTTTATTTAGAAATTATTAATATTGAGTTATAATTAATATATGTAGGAGAGTGTTAAATGGTTCATAATTTATATAATAGTTGTGTTCATTTGGAGTGGAAATTAGAAATTTAATTAATTAAATCCTAAGAATATAAATTCCAATATCTAAATTTTGTAATTACACATATACATTTATAAGAAATCTGTTTTATAATTATAAATGTTTTGTGATTAAGTAATAAATAATACGTGTTAGTTAATTAAGAACAGAATTGATGAAGTAAATGAAGAAAAAGTGAGTAAAAGAACAATTTTAAGAAAGGAAATTGTGTCCACATTGAGTTCATAATATATATATATATATATATGTATTGTATAAGTAGTTAATCGGACGAAGATGAGCTTTCCAGGATACTTCCATAGACTTTTGTCTCCTTTTTTTCTGTACTCAAATTTTCATGTTTTCAGTATACCACATTTGATTACTTCAACTCAACTTCTTCCTCTCTTTTGGAGTTTTCCCTCGACAATTACATTTTTGGTTTATCAGTTCGCGAAATTACATGATATATATATATATATATACACACACACACACACATATACATTTTTTAAATAAAAATATTCTTAATGAATTCTTACAAATAATTTCATTTATTTATTTTTTTAACTGCACGCACGGGATGGAATAAAAGAAGGAAAAATGGAAGGCAGAGGAAATTAAAAGCGAGGACATAAAGGGAAATGGAGAAAAAGAGGAGGGTAATGAGTGTAATTAAAAGTAAGATGCCGCCATTGTTGAATTAGAATAAGCTGCAGTTGTATATATCGTCATATTTGACGTATAGTCATCTTTTTCTTCTTCTTTAATTTTATATTTGAAAAAAGATTGTTGCAGTCAGTTACTTGGCCATTCAGGGTTTACGTTTCCATTCCAGATGGCTGCTACAGCTTTAATCTTTTTGCTTTTGTTTTTGTTTTTACATATAAACATCCTCTTTTAAACGTGTTTTGCAGCTTTTACTTTTCACTTGTTCATATATTTATAGTCACTATTATATATACACACACACACACACACACACACACACATATATATATGTAAATACATCTTATCACCTAGGAATGCATATGTTCATAAGTTAGCTTAAATATTACATTTTAACCATCTCATGCTGACAATATTTGAAAGTTCATAAATTTATGATTCCACATTTTAATTAATGATATTGTATAGTAACTTCATTTATATATGCTACATGCTATTAATTTAATCTTTTATATTGTGAGAGAACTTTGCACTTATTCTGAATTATTATTTATTTTATTAATTATAAATTTAATAAATAATTATAGTTATAATAAATTTATTGTTTATTTTAATTTTTATTGACTTCATTAAAAAAAATAAATCAGCTCAATTTAATTCCGAATGAACTGAATAGTCCAAATTCGTTTGTACAGTACTCGATATGAAATTAAAGGATTAAAAAAACTTTAATTCAATTTTGTTTAATTCTAGATTGATCAACACTCTTAATCAATATAGTTTAGAATTAAGTAGCTAAGATTAATTATATGAAGAATTAGGATATATATTACATATTTTGCAAAATAATTGATGATATTATTTGTATTTCCTAATTTTATACATATATAATTGTTTTGTACTTACTGTGACCTTTATTCGTATATCGTTGGGAACGATATATAGCAACTTACTAACTAATAAAATGAGTTGATTGATTGGATCAATTTCATGTTTATGTCTGAGTGATTAGTTCGTATATCTACCATGAACATGTTTATATATGTGCGCATATATATATATATATATACATAGATGATACATAGAGTCTAAAACAAAGTTATATAAAAACTAAATTATTAAGTTCAAGAATTAAGTCCTTTAAATGATCGGTTTACCAACTGCTACAGTAAGAAATTAAGAAACAAAATTGATTATCGTACATAAATATGTACACATATGAGAGAAATATATATTATATTGGGGGGATAAATATAGTAGTAAATGGGTATACAGCAAGAATATATATGTCCAGCCACAAATGAAAACCTCAATAACATGCATATGCAGTGAATGTGCATGTATGTATATTATGTATGGATGTATGTATGTATGTATGTATGTATGTATGTATGAGTTAATTAGAATGATTACAGTTAAGCTGTCGTTTTACAGAATGATAACTACGATGCCTTTTTTAAGTCCTTACACCAAAAAATGCTCACTTGTCATTTAAATACAACTCTTAAACTAAGCTCAATTCCACGATTAATAAACTTAAACGTGTCGCTATCAACTTTTTATTTCTAACATTATATATATATGTGTGTGTGTGTATATATATTATGACCTTTCAATAATCTGCTTTCATGTCCCTCTCTAATTACTTAATTTAATTTGGTAAAAAAATTATGGATTAAATTAAAAAATAAAGGAAAATTTAATTAATTTATCTACAGTCAGAATAGTTTAGCCGTCACTGGCAAAACATGACAAGTCTGTCTTCCTAAGATTGAGTTTTTTTTTTTTTGGTAGTAAAAAAAAAAAAGAGAAAATAAATATAATAAAGAGATAGCAGGAAAAAATAATAAAAATAAAAAGAAAAATAAAAAAAATTGTTTTTGTTTATCCCTAGTGGTTGGATTAGGTCTTGTCTTGGGTTGATTAAGATATTTGGTTACTTTTTAGAGGGTGAAATGACATAAATACCCTTGGGGTGGACCTGATGTGACAGGCAGGTCCCTGGTTCTACCATGTAACTGAACCAACCGGATAACTGAGCACAACATGGATCTTCTTCCCCCTGGCTTTTGCACGTTTCTAACCAAGCATCTCTCATAACCTCACCACCACACACTTCCTCTCTAAATTTCAGACAACCGCCATTAAAACACTGTCAGATGTTTTTTCTAGTTTACTACAAATTATATTTATTATGCTCCCTAATTGTTCTATTAATAAATAGTTATTTTTAGTTTTGGGGGTAAGGTTGATATATTTTTACTGGGTAGGGGAGAGAGTTGATAAAGACGGGAATTTGTCTGGGAGTGAATGTAAGAAGAGATATGAATTGAGAGAAAGAAAGAGAAAGAGAGAGAGGGTGTGTGTAGTATAGAAATGTTCATGCTTGCCCTCACGCACCATCCTGTGTCGTTTTGTGGGGAATGGATTGGGTCCACCGACCTGTGGGTCTTACCTTTATTTATTATTTATTTTTTTTTTGCTATCTGGTTTAGTTTTGAGGTTATAGATGAAAATTTGAAAGTGAGCTGAGGAAAATCAGGGAATTTTTGAGAAAATTGAGAAAAAGAGAAAAAGGGTTTAGAGAGAGTAGAGGGAGAGAGGTGTATATGTGTGACAGTATCTGCATGACACCGAATCAGAGAAGGAACTAAAGTGAGCATCAGTTATTCAAAATCTGGCATTTAAGAGAAGAGAGAAGAGAGAAGAGAGAAGAGCAGTGGAGGATAGGATAGCATAGGATAGATATAAAATTAATTGCATATCCATGGGCTGATTCATTTCTCTTTTCCTTTTCTTTATCCCCCAGTCTTCTTTAATTTCTCTGATTTCAGCTTTTCTCCTGCATAGTTATATATATACATAATTCCGGTTTCTGAAGAGAGAAAAAGCAAGAGTAGCAGAGGAAGAAGAAGGAGAAGTAGTTGGTGAGGAATTCGATAGAGAAAAAGCTTTTGGTGATCGGAAATATGGCTGCATCGTCTTCCTCAGTGCCGTTATTTGGTATAAGAGAAGAAAATCAAAACCAAATGAGACAGCAGCAACATTCCTCTACACCAGCTCCATCTGCAGTTCAAGCACCACAACCCCCTAAGAAGAAGAGAAACCAGCCAGGAACACCAAGCAAGTACCCACAATTATTTTATTTAAGATCTACTTCTCAATTCAAATCTCAAATGATTTAACCCAAATTCCCATCAAGTTCTTCCTTTCTAAATTTTCTTTGTCTGGGTCATTTTGTTGGGGGGTTAAAAAGAATCACGGCTCTATAAAAAAAACCCTAAATTTTGGACAGATTTCGAGGGGATTAATTTGGCCTGATGTTTGTGTTTTTTGTTCTTTTTTTCCTTGAATTAAATCGTGAATTTTCTAATAATTTCTAATTTGGCATTTACCCGTGACAGATCCAGATGCGGAAGTCATAGCGCTATCTCCCAAGACACTAATGGCAACAAACAGGTTCATTTGTGAGGTATGCAACAAAGGGTTCCAAAGGGAGCAAAACCTACAGCTTCACAGAAGAGGACACAACCTGCCTTGGAAGCTAAAGCAGAAGACTACAAAAGAGGTGAAGAGAAAGGTTTATTTGTGCCCTGATCCCACATGCGTCCACCATGACCCTTCTCGTGCTCTTGGCGACCTCACTGGCATCAAAAAGCACTATTCGAGAAAACATGGCGAGAAGAAATGGAAGTGCGAAAAGTGCTCTAAGCGCTATGCTGTTCAATCTGACTGGAAGGCCCATTCTAAAACTTGCGGCACCAGAGAGTACAGGTGTGACTGTGGAACTCTCTTCTCGAGGTATACAAATATGTATATATATATATATTCATATATGTATATGTTACTTCTACTTAATACATATATATGTTTGTTTATCTTCTTCTTGATTAAATTAATTCCGACCCATCTCATCATCTTCTCTGGGCTTAGCGGGATTTCAAGAATAAGAAAGCTACACTTTTGCCTGTTTGGCATATATAAGGATTTGGGAGAGAAGGCGATATGACTTGTCTTTTTTCTGGCGGGTTAGGGCTACGTAGATTCCTCAAAGTAACGAGACAGAAAAGTCTTGGTCCTTTTTCTTTCAATTTTCGATCTTCTCTTCAGTTTTCTTGTTAATGGGTCTCTCTTCCCTTTTTCTTTTTCTTTTCAACTCTTGTTTTGATTGTTAAGGTAAAAGAAGGAAGAAAAGAAAAGCTTCCATCCCCACGTGAATCATCTCTTGAAACTGCCATGGTTATAGAGGTTTCAAACACGACATCATGAAGAAAAAGGGGGAAGAGAGAGAGAGAGAGAAGAAAAGAAAAGTAACTTTTTTTTTGTTAACTTGTCTCCTTGGAACCACCGCCACCTCTTTTTTTTAAGCTGTTATTTACTTTCCCGATTCACGTGCTGCTAAACCATATAGAGGGTTGCTGTGTTGTTGTTACCAGGTTTGTTCTCTTATGGTTTGGCTAGATGAGTTCAGGTCTGTTCTCTCTCAGGCACATCCTTTTCATGATTAATTAAACCTTCAGGTCCCCAATCTTCAACCTTCCTCTCTTCCTCACCCATCTCTCCTTGCAGTCTCAAATGGCGGATCATTATTATTATCTATTGATGAAAAAAGTCTGATGAGTTTTGTTCCTATTTCAAGAATAATTCTCATGTGGGGTTTTTGCATTGATTAATATTCAGAAGTTGCCCAAATGGGTTCTCAAGATTTCATCTGTTTCTTATAAATCTTAGAACACATTCTCTTGTTGCATTTATTGAACACTCAGTTTCTTTAAAACCTTGTGTTCATGGTTGATTGGTTAATCATTTTCAAGTTTCATCAGTATGAAATTCTTTTCTACCTACCCTACTTAATATGTTTCTGTCTTCTTGGAGAATTTCAGTTGAACTTGTTTGCTTTATTATTCTAGTTTCTATCTACCTACTTGACTCTTTAACTCATCTATTATTGAAGCTCTGCAATGCTTTTTTTCTTTATTATTCCCAACTCGTTTAGGGTTTCTACTTTTACCCATTATAGTTATATCTTTCTACTTCATTTTTAATTTACTTTTCCATACAAATAACTAACTTAATATATACATAGTAGTTCCTCAATTGATTTAGTGCGATGGAGAAAAAGTTTAATAATCTGAAGGTAAAATTTTGAACAGTACCAAAAGCCTTCCACTTTCAATATATTCTTCGATTCTGTACTGTCACCATTTTGACTATTTATAGAATTTATGCTGCTTTGCTTTATAAAAAAACCAACAGTAGATTCTTCACAGTTTCTGCTGTACAAGGGGTTTACAGTTTTACTTTTACAGCAACCATAGAATAATTTCTTCCTTGTTACAAGCAAGTAATATTCAAGATTGTATTATTTGATGTAGTAGTAGAGCTACCAGACATGACTTGCTGTTCATGGTTTTGTTTTTTGTTTTTTTATTTAATCCCCCTCTTCCTTTTTCTTTTTCCTTTAAAAAAACAATGTAAAATGGTCTAATGGATTCCTTTGTATAATAATTGTTGCAGGCGTGACAGTTTTATCACGCACAGGGCTTTCTGTGATGCACTGGCTCAAGAGAGTGCAAGACACCCTCCTTCCATCAGCACTATAAGCAGTCATCTGTATGGAAATAACAACAATGTAGCAGCAGCTGGTTTAGGCTTATCTCAACTAGGCCCACAAGTTCCCTCCTTACAAGACCAGACTACCTCTCAATCTACTCATGCTCCACCCACCCAATTTGATCATCTCCTTCCTTCTCACTCCACCTTCCGTCACCACCACCAGCAGAACCCCGCCGCTTCTCCTGCTTTCTTCATGCAAGAACCAAACCAACAAGACTTATTGTCAAACAATAAGCAGTTTCATGGGCTAATGCAGATGGCTCCTGGTAACAACACTACCAGTCTTTTCAACCTGGGTTACAATAGCAGCAATGATGGAGGAGGAAAACACAGCTCAACTACCAATCTGCCATCTTCTGGTTTTCTGGTTCCTAATCATTTCAACAATGAAAATGGTACTAGTGGGGTCGACGTCGTCGGTGGTGAAGGCTCCACTCTCTTCCCTAACAATCTCATGACTGACCAGATCAGCTCGGGTCTCTCCTCTCTCTTTGGCACACCCATTCAAGGTGGCAGTATCAACAACATGATGCCCCATATGTCCGCCACCGCACTTCTTCAAAAAGCTGCTCAAATGGGTTCAACCTCCAGCAACAACACTGCCTCTCTGCTAAGAAACAAATCAAACTTTGCTTCTATTTTCAGCGAAAACGAGGCCAATAACCTTCATGAACTAATGAACTCGTTTAGTAGCGGCAGCCCTTCAATCTTGGGAGGTGGATATGGAGAAGATCATCAGAACCCATATGGGGAAGAAAGGCAACGACACGGGCCAAACACCTTTGGCAATCTTGATGAGCAAAAACTCCATCAGAATATGAGTGCAAATATTGGGGGATCTGATAGGTTAACCAGAGACTTCTTGGGCGTTGGACAAATCGTTCGAAGCATGAGTGGAGGCATTTCACAAAGGGAGAAACAACAGCAAGCCACCATGGATATAAGCTCGTTGGAATCAGAGAGGAACAGGACTGGTAATGCGGGACCGACAACAAGTCAATCTTTTGGAGGTGGAGGGAATTTTCAGTGATGAAGAGAAGATGATGATGATGATAATGAGGAGGAGGAGCGAAGTACAGGTACGTTAAAAAATGATTATAGGTGTGACGTATTTAATAATAATAATAATAATAATAATAATAAGATTATTTACAGTACACTGTCATTAAATGTGTGTTAGTGCTTTTTACTGTTTTTATTTTATATATTGGGTTTGATAGTGTTTGTGTGTGTGTGTGTATATATATATATAATTTTTTTAAAATGTCTGACATGTTTTATTGCATGAGTTGGGTTTTTGTTTCTTTTCTTGTTTTTTTGTTTTGATCTTCTTTTATCTGTATGCTGACATGGTCACGAGCGCTGCAGCTCTTGCTCTTGCTCTTACTTAGGATGCTCTTAGTCTTATTCTCATCTATCTATCCATCCTCCATACCCTCCACCTCCGCCACACTAGTTTGCTACTAGTCGAATCTTATCATAATAATGATTAATAATAAAATTATATATATATATATATATCAAAGAAATACATTTGAATTAATTTTATGAACAAAGCAACTAATGTAAATATTAACTACGTGTATGCTGTAATAATTAAAACTAGTTTAGTTTTTTATTAATGCTGAGTGCTTCTATTTTTATCTGTAAAATTGTGAGTTTAAGTTAGCTTATTATTTTATGAGTGTCGAAAAGTTAATTACATTATTATTAAGATATAAATAATACTTCATTATTAAACTTTATATAATTTTTTAAAAACATAATTATTTTTAATCAGTTAAAAACTATATATTTATTAATTAATACATACATTTAATTATAAAATTATTTTTTTAATGAAAATACGAAAACACATGTAACTCGATTTAAATCCATAAGATCTTATCTACTAGAGGAGTTACCAACGATTTAAGGAAATAATGGTAGCCAGCTTTTACTATTGATGCAAGGGGTTGTCTGAATCTCTGTGTGTGTGTGTATAGTCTACATATATATATATATATATATATATATATATATATGTATTGAGTAGTCACGTAGTTGGAAGTGGTAAACATGCATGAACAGTGGGTAGTAGGACTTTAGGGAAGAGTCACGAGAGAAGTTTATAGAATAAAATGATTGGAGGAGTTGATGCAATTTTATCATTGCAGCAGCTGGGGCTTCTCTGAACACCACAAGAATTTTGGAAATTATTTTTTCTTCTTTATACTCTTACTATTGTTTCTTAGTGGGGGTACCATGGGACCACATATTAATTTCCTTCCCAATCCACTCTCACATATATCCATCATTATATATATATATATATATATTTATACATATATCCCGTGAAATCATAGAATCAATGTTTTGTATGCATACATGCATCCTTATTAGGAGGGCTTAATTATTATAATAATATAGTTAATACTTAATATTTTCTTAAAAATTTCTACTCATTAATATGGGTAAAAATATAATAAAGTTTAAATTTTTATGGTTTTAGTCTAAACGATTTGATATAATTCGATTCAATTTTTTTCTCTGGTATGCTTTGCACATATTGATATCAGAGTGCTAGAGGGAAAGTTCAGTGAGGTAAATAAAAAAAAAAAAAAAAAAAAGTCCATTATTATAAGTTGTATTGAGTGTATGCTCTACATCTCCATAGTCTTAATTTTTTGCTTAGAAGAAAAGAATTATACGTAAAAAGGGAAAGAAATTAGGACAAGAGTTGGGCTAATACATATAAGAACATAAAAGCATCGTGGATTATGAAGATCTTTTGAAACGTTATATGTAGTGCCTGAGCCTAACATGCAGTAATTATATAGGTCCTTTTCAAGTGCTAGAAATCCCATTATCACATGTGAGAGATCCGATGGGAAATATATATATATAAGTAAAGAAATCAATATAATTGGATCGTGGGTGTTTGGACTTCCCCTCAAATAATTGTCGGAGTCTATTATATAATATACATATATATACATGTATATAAGTATGTGTATAGAAAAGGTGTGAGATGATGGGAAAGGATGATTCAAAAGTTGATATACTTTATTGGTAGTCTTGTTTACTATTATTTCCACAGCAGCATGTTACTTACGTAGCCAAAAGTTTCATATCTTTTGTATACATTTCAATTTGTAGTCTTTTACTCTAAAAAAATAATAATTCTTAGTCTTTAACAGCTGCCTGAATTAATTCCCATTTAATTCCTAGCTAACTTATTACTATTATTTTTAGAGATACACATTTCGTAGCATGGGTTAGTAATTGCTAGTTTGATTTAGACCAACCTGTGTGAAATTTAAGTTAAAATTTTAGTATTAGTTATTGTTTAACTCAATTGTTAACAAGTCTATTTTTTAATAAAAAATAATAAATTTGAATCATATTGTGTTCTTGTTTGTATTCTTATTTAAAATATATTTTTATAATATTATGATTAATATATGTATATCACGTAATTAATAAATGAATTGAATTCTCATTCTCTCAAAATTAAGCGTTGTTGTTTGACTTGAATTTCCTTTGGTCCTTCAAAAATTGATAATTGTTTTCTTGTATTCTCTAGAATTGTCATTGTTTTTTATTTTATTTTATTTTATTTCAATCTCTTTAATTATGATATTGGTATATATGTATATACAACTACAATTTGCAGGGACATGCAATATGGTTCTGGAAAAGACATCTTGACTAATCATCTTCATCACATGAAAGAATCGACAAGAAGGTGTTGATCGAGTTTATTTTATCTCACCCGGATCATATACCAGAGCTTAATGGAACTCTTTTATAGGCTTTTAATTTTTAGTTTATATTAGTTAACCTTTCCTCCCCCCCGTTTTATAACAAGAATTTTCTCATCTTTTGTATGGAAAATTTAGTAGAAAACATATATGGTTTTTTTTTTTTTAAATATTTGGTGGTACCATGTGAAGATAGTCGTTACTAGTGCATAGACTGTAAAGTAGAATTTTATCCTATATTTATATATATAGTTTCAAAAATGAATTGTCGAATCCCCGACATTATTTGATATGTTTCAGAAGATTTTGAAGAATTGCTATCCAAAATTACTATATACTATAGTCACCCTATTTAAAAAAAATAAATATTTATTCATATCATGGACGTGTTTAAACACCATTGTCCATATGTATACACATTAACAAAATTTTGCAAGCCTTTGAACACAATTGACATTATACTCAATTGTATGATGATGGGAGGCCTAATTGCATGATGAATGTTGTGATAAACAATGTCTATTTTGCAATTACTTGTTTAGGGTGTTTTTTTTTATAACTAATTTGAATTTTTTGCAATTAGACTTTAACTTCCCACTATAGGGAGACACCCACTCTCTGTCTTTAGGGTTCAACCCCTCCTATCTCTACCAACTCACTTTTGCTGAATGTATGAAAAAATTCATTTGTTAAACATCAAGTCATCTTTATTCTCACAAGATCTTTTATCTCCCTAACTCGTAGGTCCTTACCTTAGACACCTTCTCATTCTTAGCAAATAAAAAAAAAAAACCATAATACATCATAAAAAAAGAAATCGATTAACTTCTTTGAACTCATTGTCCCTCCCATAGTTCGCTAAAACACCAATGATATACTTACATCATTCGACATTATATGTTTGATGTCCCACCAATCTAGACTAATACACCATACTATCCATGCTTTTGTGCAATGTGGAAGTCATGATTCACCATTTTTAATCCTTGTCCCTAAAGAGCACACACATTTGATCTCTCAAGTCTATAATGATGGTGATAAAAAAGAGTTCCATCACGGGAACCCGTCTTTTAATCAATTGCCATGTGAAGACCTTTACATTTAGTGGCACATGAGCCCTTTAAACACTCAACTCTAAAAGTTACATCCTGATGGTCGCCTCTCTCGATAGCCTCTTAAAAGATCTCAATGAATAAACATCATTCTCATCTTATTTCTATACTACCTTATCAAGCTTACTCCTACACAATACCACTCTTTGTAATACCCTCATTAAGCTAGTCCATTGCTCATATGCTCATCCAAATAATCTTCTCCTTAGTGTTATGCTCCAAGATTAGTTATTCCCCTCCCATGAAATGCAAGTGCTACTATAGCTTCATTTTCCACTCTCAATGAATAAATCCTTGGAAATGCCTCTATGAGTGCTCCATCACCTATCAACATCTCTTTCCACAATTTAATTTTCAAGTCATGCTTTAGTAGAATACTTTTAAATTCCCCATAAGACTAGGACTCAACTTGATTATCCCGTTATAGTACGTTGAGGCATGCCTTGGGCTCTCACTTAATAGAATTAAGTAATTAATTATACTTGCAACATTCAATTATCCACAACGTTACCTTGCTTTTAACTTATATATGCCTTATTAAATAATAGAAAAATGAATTTTTATTAGATCTCATGACAAAAGGAAAATTATCAAATTTGTTATTTATATAAAGATAAGAATAAGTACCTGTAATTTCACAACTCTCAAACTAGTTTTAATTAAACTCAATTAGAATCAAACTAGAGGAACAACTTATTCAGATAATAAGGGCTATATGTACAAGGAGCAAAGTCTTAACTAAATTTTATTTGCTGGATTGTCATGACTTTTCGAAATGTCATGATAAAATTGAAAGATAAATTTTAACAATAATGATAACTCTATTTATGATTCTTTTTTAACTTTTAATTTTGTGAATATAATTTTATCATATTATTGAACACTACTTATACTTCTAAACTTTATAAAATAAAGGTATATAAGAATTAATAAAATGATTGGCTGTAATTCTTAATTTTAGTTTTCATTACATGTTATTATGACCACATCATAAACATGCTTGATTTGGTATTTTCAACCCTTGGCCAAAGCATTAAAATTAGTAACATGGCCATCCCTCCTGTTATTATTGCTCCCTATCCTCATACTCATCATATTTTCTCAAAAAAGGTAGCTCCTAAAAAATTATTTAGCCTACAAAACTCAATCTATTCATCTTTTAAAATTTATTCATCCCTTATGTGTATTGTTAAAACTCGAATACATGATTAAAGAAGCAAAAAACATATAACTACCACCACATTAGGCCTATACTATTACATAAACTTCACGAACAACTTATTACTCATGAGATTCTTCTTAATAGCCTTCATCATGTCTTTCTCGCTGCTAATATCCCTCAGTGTGTTCCACAAGAAAATTAACAAGCTTGTTTCTTATCAATGTCACTTATCTTCTCATCATCCCATATTTTTTAGTGTCCATTTTTCTTTTAAATAGCTTGTTATATTTCAAATGTCTTGATGGTACCAATGCCACACCCTGGCTTGTTGTTTATACTTCAATAGCCCTAGTTGTGCCATAAAAATTTTCATTACTTCTGCACATGGTTTTGCTACATATTCCTTTATTTCACTACCTATCGTTGCCTTTCAATTTTCCTTATTTAACTTTGTCACCTAGTTATGACACCCATGTTCCAAGCTCTCTAGTTTCTATTACATTATTGACCATCATACTATTAAGCAGTCTCACTTGTAACTTTCTTTTTATTAATAAAGATATAACAAGCTCTCCATATTTTAAATGATTATTACCTTTAAATTCCACTCTTCTACGTGCATACATATTCAACTATAAGTTATTCCTTCAGAGAAGAAATATTTTAATTTAACTTATATTGAGTCACCTGATCTTCCTATTGATAAATCTACATGTTTTTAAAAACCTTCTAAATATGAGGTGAAGCAATAATGCCATGACTAATGAGATACAAACACTTTCCGCTGCAAAAACATGGACTTTAGTTCCTCTCTAATTAGTAAAATGTTGTAAACAAAAAATGGGTTTATCATATTAAAAAGAAAGCCTAATGGTAGTATTGATAGATATAAGGTCGACATGTTATTAAAGAATTTAATTAACAATTTGGCTTGATTATGTTAAAACTTTTAGTTCAGTTGTTAAGGTTATTAATGTTTGTATTACTTTCGGTTTGGTAGTTTGTAATGAGCAACCACTTAATTAGTATAATGTTTCTAATGACTTTTTACATGAAATCTTGAGAATGGGGTCTATATTAAATAACCTCATTACTTTAACGATTGTGATTTTTTATATTATGAGTTTAAATTGTATATATAAGTCTCTCAATAGTCTTAAGAGGATCCTACGCTTTTGTTTACTCAATTCAATCTTTTTTTTTTTTTACTTTTAATGTTTTTTTTCATTGAAGGCCTTTTTGTTAGTGCATGTGGATGATACTGTGATAATTAGGACTAGTTTTTTTACACTTGATGATAATATCATCCATCTCCAAGATATTCTTGATTAACAATGTTATTGAGTCAAATTTAAAATGAGTTTTGTGAAGTCCAACTCGACCAACCTTTATTTATAAATTTGTATTATTTTTGGCTCAACTAAATTTTTAGGATGAAGCTTGACTTAGTTAAACCTAGGTAATGCATATATATGCTGATATATCTTGAATTTTGATGATATTTATCTATATTCTGGAGATAATTTATTTGAATATTTTTGTATTTATCTTGGAGAATATTTGATGTATATCAAGAGTTTTTATTGGTGAAAAACCTTACTAATATCTCTATAAATAGGTTTACTAATTTATTGGTGATGTATTCTTAGATTATATGGTCGAATTCTTTCTTTCCGGTCTTGTTGTGGATGTAGGCACACTGCTGAATTATGTAAAAATTTTGTATTCTTTTCTTTATGCATTTACTTTGGTATGATTGTGCATGTTTTAGAAATTAATTTTTTCCAACAAGTGGTATCAGAGCTCGGGTTTCAGCTGGGTTAGAGAGAGAAAATAGCTAAATCGAGTGGCGACTGGTGAAATCAGAGTTGAAAGGAAAAAGCTTGGATATGCGGTGGAAAAAAACTGATTTGCTTAAAGAGGAGGGCCAGAGAAGAGAAACTGAAAGCGGATCTGCGACGTCCGACCCTATCTGTGAGTGAAACCAGAGTCAGAGAGGAAGAACACACACTAGAGAAGATGAACAAATGCGGCAGCACCCGATTTGCGCGATACCCGATTTGCGACGTTCCCGATAGTTTTTTGGTGCGTTTTCACTAGATCCGTGCTGGATCTGTCAAGTCGCATGTTCTTGTGCATTTTTTTTGTGTTTTTTAGTGACGAGGTGAGGCGGCCAGTGGCTGCGTGTGACAGCTCTGGAAATCACACATGTGACAGCATATGAAGGAGTGTGGAGGCACGTCCAGTTTTCTAGTGGTTGCATTTGGTGGTTTCTGTGTAGTGGTAACTCGTTGTGAGTTTTTTTATTTTCTGATAATGTTTTTTTTCTCTCTGTTTGGTTTTTTAATTCACATTTTAAGGATTCGAGATGACATCTATAAAGTATATGATAAAGAAGTTTGATAGTGATACGAGTTTCACTCTGTGAAAGATTAGATGAGATCATCATTGGTTCTATAAGATTTATTGGAGGCACTTGAAGAAAGATATCTTGAGGGTGTGAAAGAGTCGAAAAAGGCAAATATACAAGATAGAGTCTTATGTGAGATTTTTATGAGTGTCAATGACAATGTTATGCAGGAGATTGCTGAAGAGATTTCAGCTTCAACTGCGTGGAAGAAACTAAAAGAGATGTACTCTATAAAATCGATGACGAACTGCTTTTATATAAAAAAAAGACTGTATGATTCTAGAATGAGTGAAGGTACGCCCATTAAACATCATCTTGATGAATTTAATTTTTTAATTATAGACTTGACTAACATAAATATTAAGATTAAAAATGAGGATAATACATTGATTGTTCTGTGTTCATTACCTTCTTCTTATGAGATTTTTGTTGATATTTTACTGTATGAAAAAACTAGTATTTCACTAGATAATGTTAGCAATG